TAATTCTCTCTGCAGTGTTCATTGTCTAGTGATATGGAATGTAGTGACATCGACTTTCCTGTGTTGCATACCGTGGTGATATTTTATTAATAGTGTACTTTACGCGGCCTACTGCCTTCCCTTCCAGCAAACGTCTGGTAAGTGACTCGCTCCGAGGTTCCAATTCACAAATTTCAGCAGCCAAAAACGCTGGAACGCAGTATAACATAAATTAACTCATGCCATAATGGTCAGTTGACGGACACCAAATTAATGCAGGTAGCCTCGTTTGGCTGAATTGGCAAAGAGAAGGATAAACAGCTCAATGGTAATGTCAAACGGTCTCACCAACTTACTGATATCAAAGTCCATATAATTCTTATTATTCCCAATTTCCCTCCTAATTTCACCCCCCCCCCCTCCCCACCGCCAAGCGTCTGTAACACGGACGCACGTCCACGTGTAGACTGGGATTCGAACCCGCAATCCCAGAGTTCCAAGGTCACTGTGAACTGACGATGTTGTTTTGTTACCAAACCTCACAAATGGTGCGATGGGGCTAACATGGCTCACTGTCCACAGGTTGGTGACGAAATACGAGATGGTCTACTGGAGGCACGATGGTCGTCAAATGAGAAATCCGTTCAAAAGGAGGTAGGGAAGTTCCTAAAAAATATTTATTAAACGTAACTGTAAGTGCAATAAACAAAATGGCGAGTGAGGGACGCTTGATCACCCATGAATTGAAATTTTCGGCTTTGAATCAAAAAGAAGATAGCTGACCAGAAATACATACGTAAATTTACAGCATTCAGAATGCTTAGAATCACTTTTAAATCGTCTGCATTTACCAACCGAACGGACAGAGTGCACGCCTTATCTGAAAACTGAATGCCACCATCTTTAGGATACAAGTCTCCACAGTCATCATGCCACTTCTATATTTGGCTGTCTTCCTTAAGTAAAGTTAATTTCGAGAAATCCTTGACGAAAAGACGGACTTCCGGCTATCCGTCGTTGGCAGGCTTGTCGAGATATGGAACGTTTTTGCTACACGCCCCCACCCCCCTTTCCTCCCACACTTGAATCGGTTGTTGTTTGTAAAATCTCGGGTGGCACGCAGAACCTGTTCTGCTCTGCGCGTTGTTTCCCGACAGCATTTCTCTTTGCAGTTCGACAAGTTCCTGAAGACTCTGGACATCTTTCCCCCCACGGTCAGTTTGGGCGACTTCACCATCATCAACAGAGCTCTCTTCATGTCCGTAAGTACCCGCATGGCCGAAAATCACATCCTACAATTCCAATACTTCACGTTTATATCTGGAGTTTCAAAACATTTACGAAAACCATTCTCGAGAACACTTCACATTTGTGGAAAATCACTTTCCAATTCTCCGTCTAATTTCAGTCTTAGTAAGGCCGAAACACTTACGCACTCTGTGGATTCTAGGTGTCTAGCATCGTCACGGGGGAATTTATTTGCCTGGAAAATATACGAGACTTTCCCCACATCCAATATGTCTCCGTCCAGTAGGCATCTAAACTAATCTAAATTTCCTCAACAGAGAGGAGGTGATCTGAAGATGGCTGTATTCTAGGTTTTTGTGCCGTGTAGTCTGGTAGCTTACCGACGTTTCGGAGGTGCTTTCTGTCTGCATTATCAGGGTTATGATCAGCAGCCGAGAATACAGTCATCTTCGTGGTCGCTGCTGCGAGAACCTCAGATCTCAGACAGACGGAACGTATTTTGTGTTGCAGCTTGCAACTATGATGACTACTTACCTCATTGTCCTGCTGCAGTTCAACATGTCGAGCTCCGACAGTCAGGGATACAACATTACTCTGCAGATCTAACGCCACAATTTGCACCAAACATACCGATAACCACTACACTCTAGTCCAATAGCACACACCCGACTATTCTAGTTCGTTCTCCTGACCGCGTGGAGCATGCTGGCGTGCTCAAGGCGGCTGTTGCTCTCACTGTTTACGCGAACCGGACCATAGAGAAGGCGGTGCAAAATAGAAAGACTTTGAGAAGAATTTCCCAGTTCAGAGGAAAATTTTCCGCTCGAGTACGTAACCACTGGTCGCATTTTAAGAAGATAATTTTGTTCACGCATTGCAATTTTGCTGGGTAAGCCATGGATATTTCTTCCCGAAATTTTTTTCAAGTTCATGTAATGTATAGAGATTTCCTTTGTATATATTTTTCTTAAAGTGTGTACGAAAATCTGCCGAGGACGTCATTAACTTATTTCCGTCTGCTTCAAGAACGCCCTGCTGGACAAGCACATCGTCTCCCGTGCCCCCGCCCCTCGACTGCTTGGTTGCATTGAGCTCTCCTACTCCTTAATCAAAGACTTTTTTTATTTTCAGTCTCAGCCCTTTAATCACTGTCCTCCTTCCAGATTCACATCAGCAGCCAACATTTTCTTCAGTGACTTTTATGTATTTCAAACATTTGTTTCCCTTGGTCATATTCTGTAATAACTGATTTCTCCATAACCTCATTGTTGTTTTCTTTTATTATTTGGCTCTCTTGCCGTTGATGCAACATGCCAATATTAAAGAACTGAATTGAATTATCCTATAAAAGACCATTTAGAATAACATACAAAAAATATAAATAAATAAATAAATTATAAAACCATGTTACTTGCACAATATTTTATTTACTTCACATTAGGTACATTAATAAATATTCTGAATACAACAAAGAGAACAAAACCTTGTACAGTTACATAAGCTACACATCACGTCATGTCATCTCATGTCATGTTTCAGTGCACCAACAGCTGGTCTTAGTTAAAATAACACAGGAGGATCAAGTGCGTACAATCTGACAATACTGTAGTGTTCCACCAGAGGGATTAGTAACGCATGAACACAATAGATTTAAATTTAAGAAATATAAAGCACACAGAACTTCTTACATTTCAACATACAGTATACAAGCATTTTTTTTTTTAAAACGTTTCATGTATTTTGATTTTGTGACCTCAGTTTGCACAAAACGTGGCTTTTGTAATGGCATCTCCATTATAAACATAACACGACGCACGATAACGCGTTCACCTCGTTTAGACAAACCGTAGCGAAGTAGCACATCCTTAGCATTGAAGGATAAGAAAGCTTCACTGCGTCTGTAGGTACAGCCATCAATCATGACTGGATGGTCTATGAGGTGCAACGAATGATTAACCGAACTACATAAAAAAAACTACGTGAGGGGTGGGAGAGAGACTGCCAGAAACATGAGGTGAAGGGCAGGTCATGAGCGACATGCCACGGCAGGAATTCACAGGTTTGTGGCTGATTTTCCTTTAAATGCGCGTGTTTTACATGACAATTACTTTCTCTTAAGTTTTAAGGTGTTCTGATACTGTGCATGGCGGACCCAAGTCCGCTCACCATCGAGGAATAGCTTGTGAAGTGCATGGGTTCACAAGGGAGGGTGGGGTCAAAGGTATGAAGAAATAAGAGCAAAATTTGCCTAGAGTTTTAATAATACAACTCCAACTGAGGCGAATCTAGGAGAAAAAAGTTCCTAGCCAGTTCCGTGTTAGCTGCAAAATGTAGTGGACGACCGAAGAAATATGCAAATTTCAGTGCTCATCTGGAGTATGCGGTTCTTCAATCACCCAGAAAATTAACAGAGGACTCATTTGCAGAATTCCTGATCCCAAAACACTCCATACAACATCTGAAGAGGAAGAAAGGCTACCATAACTTTTCGCCAACATTTATCGACAAATGAAGTGATGACAACGTGGACGTGCGGCAACAGACACACGCAACCTTATTGGATACCTTCCGACCCATAGCATCCCATTGTAACGTTACATTCGGTGATAAACGTGTGGTATATCTCAGTGCCGGGTCCTAAAAATGTTCATATCTGGGCTAAACAAAATCCACATCTTTGATGGAGCATAGCTACGAACATCATATTATGATGTGAGCTGCACGCACTATTTCCTGAACCACCAATTTCCACCATGGTTTGGGTGACATGGACCGCTTATCCATCTGGCCTCCCAGAAGTCCCTAAATGACTGTGAGTGACACCTGGTTATGGTCTATTACGAATGAACGAGCTTTGCACAATTCACGTGCACTATGATGTTGACTTAGAAGGTGAGATTCGCTGTATCTTCAACACCATTACACCAGAAGTTCTCTAACAGGCCTCCTGGCACAACTGGTGATGAATTCAATTACATGTTGCTAGTGGTGGTGACCACACTAATCAGTTGGACAGCTGAGAGCTGCGTCCCGAGTGGTTTGACATACGTTGATTCCGTAACATGCGCCGGTATCATGTTCCACTGTAATTAAAATGTTTTCACGCTAAACCCGAATTCCGGTGTCACATCTGCCACACCATCCGATCGCAACTTTCAGCCATCCTGCACTTTCTGATAAATAATTTGTTTCTTACATGCAATGTTTACATAACTCAGTAGTCCCTCGACTAACACTGGAATAGGAACTTTAGAAAATACAACCTCAAAATTAACCACAGAATAATAAAGAAATAACTAGCAACACTGTATTATTGTATTACGACTGAACACATAATTATATGCACTACAAACTAGAGTTGTCACTGTTTTAATTTCTAAATAATTATGCAACCTATCAGTGATCTTTTTGCTGAACTCAACCACAGGCAATATTTATCACATGTAAATACTGGGTTAACGTCATAAGCTACGAGTTTTTATCACACTATCACAATTTTATGTTCCTACATATTCATGGCAGGCAAAGACAGTTTAAGCACATTAAATATATGATCCCACATGCAAAGCACAACTTCCTGTTACACAAGGACTCAATTTATGTTAAGCCAGTTCACAAACTTAACAAAACTCAATTTAACAAATGGCAATGTACTTATTTTTCTTCAAACATAAATTCCCTCCCACTGTCAATACCAGTTAACAAGACACAGACATAATTAACATATATATTGCAAGATAACTCACAGCAGCTTATAGTAGACATAGCTGACTATTAATATCCACCTCTGCTATACCATAACAAATATCTTTCAGTGCCAGTAAAATTAATGCTATAGGCAGACTGGTCTATCAAGTGTACACGTACGTTACTGCTTCACTTTGAAGCAACAGCCATGCGTGTATCTTCAGTCGTGCTCGCATTTACAGGCGGATGGAGATGAGCATCTACCACCAAGTCAGGAATTGGGTCGCGCCAGTATACGAAGTTTGAGAAGTCCTCTGAGGTGTCCTCTGGGGGAGGTGGGAACATCTGGTCCACAATGTAACTCATGTTGGAATACCTGCAACAAAGAAAAATCATGTGTGTGCTATGCCATACAGCAATACCACATTATGGCCAGGAGCCACAGTAAAAAAAATATCTGAACTATCGAAATGACATTTTCACCATTCAACAGCCCGTAGTTTCTAGTTCCATTCTTCAACAGTAAGATAAACTCATTATGCCATCATAGCGACATCTAAAGTCGGTTACAGCAGTTTCATACTTATGCTTTGACTTGTATTTGATTCAGATTCTGATAAATTTGCAACTACGAAAGACCAAACTACTGAAGAGCCTTTCAGTATTTATCTCCTGGTGTCAGCAATGAGGACGATAAAGAAAATTCCTCCTCTTCAATAGGAGGCTCGGAGAGGAATAAATGTGGAACCACACGGCGCATCAGACAATGATCAAAACCTCGATGCAAAATTTAAAATTGCATGCATGCCAGACAATTTTCTGACAAGAGATAAGTACATTTGCACTTTTCAGAGACACACTTCTGAGCCTAGATGAAAGGGAAGCTGCATCATAATATCTGAGTTGTGTGAATCTAAAAGTGGGTATGTTTGTAACTTGGAAGTGTATACTGATGCACAAGCAATAGAACCAGATCATAGCAGCTCTTTCGGCACGGTGGACAGACTCTGGAGACCAATAAAGATATCAGAGATATAGTTTATATGGATCGATGGTTCACTAGTCCCAAGCTTGTTGACATCCCTGGACTCTGAACGTAAAGGTTGTTGGGATACTAATGGGGGGAAAAGAGAAATGCTGAAGAAAACATTTTCACAAATGTTGATAAACAAAGAAAAGCTTTCAGTGGAGGAATAAAATAAATTTTAAAAAACTCAAGGTCAAATGAAAGATAGGGAGGATTTTAGGTTTTACAGAATTATTCAGGCCTGGTCAGCAATGTAAGGATAGAAATCAAAGAGCAGCAAGAGAAAAGTTCATCCAAAGATCATCACACATACAGAGTTCTAGCAAATGGTTCAAAACAAATAGCAATGTAACAAGTGCACAGACAAAGCAAAGCATCACACTGTAAAATTCACCAAGAAATTTACTAGTGTACTATCCTGAGTATGGCACAGGTTTGTGTCCTTTAAAACCATCCACCACACAGTATCTTGTAATTCAAACTACATACTGCACTGGTATGTAAGTGTTAATGCAAGGCGTGACAAGATTTTAGTACTTCATTTAAAAAGAATTAGGTTCTTAAAAATGTAAAATAATACACAGAAACAGAATTCTCCCTGTATCTCATCATCTTATTAGAAGAATATCTGACCATCCACAGCTTGTGGCTAACTATTTCTTAATCGATAACAAAGAACATCTTGAAATATTTTACCTTTCAGAAAAATAACTCGGACTAATCGATGTCACAGAAAAGCTTAACCAAAGTGTCTGACATGCATCTAGGTTTCTGTCACACTGTACACTGGCTTCAATTTATCTATTCGATATATCTGTATTACCAGACATCTTACATCAGAATAAGCCAATAGTACGCCAGTACTTATTGCATCTGATGCAGTAAATGCTAAAAATCCACTGCTACCGGCAGTTGTTAATGCACTCGCATCTTGCCAGCTATCGGTGAACGGCAAAGAGAGGTAGGTGTTGTGCACGCATCAACATACATTCCAAACACATTAGCTCTTCCATTACCACTGTACTTCTAGTTACGTGACACCAAGATCCAAAGTTAAGGGATTCTCAACCTTTTCCAGACTGCAACTCTCTACCATCAACCAACACTGCACATAAGGCCTTTCAGTCCACAACCACCCACACCAGTCGATGTTTACAAAATGGCTGCTACAAATCTTTTCCTCACCATCCTGAATCGAGTGTAGCCTGGGATCTTGGAAATGCAACTCACAAGCCATGGCAATTTTAACAGTGTAAACTGCAAATCCCCAACTGCAATAAAAACTACTATTCTGTATGAAGAATAAGCACATATTGGTAAAAACCTGAATTGATGATGTGAATCCTATTATTTACTGCTGCTTTTAATAACTACATCGTCCCTTCATAACACTAGTTACTGCTAGGTTAGGTTAGATCAATTACATTAGGTTTCATTAATAATTACTTCTTCATGACAAAGATGTTTTAAAGTATTGATAAATAAATGAGTAACAGAAGGCTGCGTTTTTGTTTTTTCTGTTTCACTTCATTCTTTATTTTGTAGTTTTTGCTAACCTAACCTAGTAGTTACTGAAGACAGCATTAATAATGGGAGTCAAACCGTCACAGAAATTCATGTTTCCACCAAACACTGCAGTTTTCTTAATTCTCCTTAGAAAACATTAGTTTTGTTAATTGCAGTTAGTGAATTTTAGTGTTTACTAGTGAAAACTGGCAGTGATTAATTTCAGGTTTTTATCACAACATAAAAAGGAAAATGCTGATACGATTCTGACAAGAGAACAAAGAGGAAATAGATATACAAAGCTGAATATCCGTAAAGTTCAAGTCCTTGTTACCATAATGACAAAAATGATTATTACATAAATTCACGACTCTTTTCCAAGAAATGACACAGACCACACAAGGAATCACTCACGCACAGGGAAGAAAGCAAGACGTTATTTCCACTTCCCAAGCAGCACAGAATTATTTACAAGTATAGGAAGGTTAAAAAGCCATCATGCACAGAGATAATACCCTGTGCTTACCAGCCATGATGGTGCCGTAAAACTTTTTAAAACACCCTTCAGTTGCTAGTTTTACAGACTTGTGAAGTACGTGTCTAAATGAATGTCGTCAGTGGTGGGAACAAATCGTTCACAATATAACTTTGTCCAGAATAACTGAAAAAACAAAACATTAAGCAAAGTACCTTAAGTAACTGCACACAACGAAATCAGAAGAAGAAAAACAGAAGAAAGAAGAAATGTTACAGTACCCTTCTAATACTCCCCATAACATGAACAAGATACAGCACTATGAAACTACTCTTCCTTCTCTGCATGTTCTTAAAGTACGGTGGTATAATCTGGTAAAAGAAGCCTACCCTGATATATTTTGATTATTGAGCTAAACATATTCATAAAATCTGAGAAGACTGCGAACATCATATCTCACATTAGACAATCTCAATCAATCAGCCACAGCATTCCCAATACATCTGGGTTCACATCCTGGAGAGCCATCCAACGAAAATCCTTTTTACAGTGGACAAGGTGCCTGGTAGGATAATTTTCCACCAGTAGCAACAGCCCTAGTTTGAAAAAGTCAAGGCCTTCTGCCACTACAAAATTCCTGTCAGCATAACACACACCTCTTATATAGTTTTAAGACTCTGTTTACCATTTCCAGCAATGTGTTTCATGCGAAACCTAACAAGGGACAATGTTTTGCACAGGATACCACCCTTAGCTTTCTGGTTGGTTGGTCGGCATGGTTCTTTTATGAGTATTTCATATTATGCTCAGCTAGTTAAGATATTTCCCACCATTTACCTTTTATAAAACATACATATTTATCACTGTGTTCACAGCAGCCCACCGCCAGTCCGTATCTTGAGCCAGATGAATCCAATCCACACCCCCAAATGTTATTTTGCTAAGATACTTTTTAATATTACCCACCCATCTATGCCTAGGAGTCAAAGTGGTGCTTGCACCCTTCAAGCTTTCAAAGCAAGATTTTTCTACATATTTTTTTTTTTCCCCATACACAATTTGTGCCCTGTCCATCTCACCCTCCTTGATTTAATCACCCTAATAATACCTGGTGCAGAGTACATACTATGGAGCTCCTCATTATGTAAGTCTCATAATTCAACAAGTGGACCAAAGACACTAAAGTATTAGCAAAAACACCAGGTTATACGGACCAATTAATTTAAGAGGCGATAGAAGTAGGACTACATCCGAATAAAATCAGGACAGAAGGAGTGTTCAAAATTAGTTACACATGGCACTCTGCCATAAAAATATTACAAACCAATAACACAGACAGTGCTAATAATACAAGACGTGATAGGTTCTGAGATGGCTGAGGATACAATGGCAGGAAAATACAGAAGATTGTGCTCCAGGTAAAGTGGCATGGCATTATACACAAAGTGAGTGGCGTGAACACAAAAACTGTCTCCACCCTCTGGTCATGTAACGTGACAGTAAGCAGACTCTGCTGAAAATTGTGCGCGTGTGTACACATACATATCAACAAATTTAATCATTCCTCACACTTACTCTGTTGATGGAGAGACAGCTGGTCTCCAAAATGTTTGAATTTGACTCACTACTGACAGCTGATTGCCCCCCCCCCCCCACCCCCCAAATAACATTCATGCACTGTTTAAAGTTTTAAATCAACCATTATTTGCTTTCTCTTTCTCATATTTCTTTCTTTCAGAGCTGAAAGTTCTACCAGCGTCACATCATTCATTGTCCATACTATGTGCATTCATACGATTGGCTTCTGCAACCACCGCAAATCCGTCTCCCTACTTTTGTCCGATAATTTTGAATACCCTTTGCCAAACCACTCCTTTAACTCACAACAAACTCACTCACTCC